CAAGGTGGTTTCAGGCAGATGAGTCACGGGCTACGAACAGTGTATTTTTACACCTATTCCAAAGGCTTCACCTCACAGAAACCTTCTGCTTTCCCTGGCCTTTCGAACCCCTCACTGCCACTCGCTTCCGTCCCGCGGTTTAAACATTAACAGGCACCCGAGCATCCTGTTTGCTTTGCCTCGTGAGCTCGCAGCCGTTCAGCTATTTGGGATCTTTGGGCTCCCGGGACGCCTACAGTCAAATAACCTCGGGTGATTATTATTGTTTTTTTGTTCCTTAGCGTGCTTTAGCAGCTGTTTAATTAAACTCCAAATGACTCTCACGCTTCTGGGAAGGGTTTTTCTCCTCTGCTGGGAAGGCAGAGCTGGGGCAACCGGCTGCTCCCTGCCCTCTCTATAATTGCTTCATGGCCTTCGGGCCCCTTTTTGGAAATCAGGAGGTGGGTTTGTGGCTGGATATTAAATGGATGAGTTGCATGGGGAAAAACTAACCCCTAAAGCCTGTCTGTTATATTTTTGAAGGGGGAAGTTGGAGCGTGTTGCAATTTGGAAAGCGGCCAGCTGCTGGGCTGGTCTTTCCCTTGCTTTTCCCCAGTAGGCGATAGGCTGACTCTCATCGATGAGCTGTATGGGAAAGGCAGTTTCAGAGGAGAAGGCAGTTTCTTTTAATTAAAAATCAAAGCTGACTTTTATTTTTAACATGTCTATTGTATAGCGTACTGAGCTAGAACAAATCCTCCCTTGTTTATTTTCAGTGGAGGAGGGGGGAAAAAAACCCCAACAAACTCATTCTACCAGGAACAGGCTTCAATGTTAATTTAATGTGAACTAATGGATGTCTCGGCAGACATGTGATTTGTGGGTGGCGAATTCCTCGACACGGATAAGGAATGCACAGGCACATCCGTGCCGGGGCGGAGGTGGCTCAGCAGCTCCCTTTCCCACAGCCTTTAATCTGAATTTTACATTTTTTTTACGTTTTGCCAGGGTAGCAGGCAAAAGCGTGTTAGCAGGAATAGCCCAATCTTCCCTCTGCGGGAGGAGAAAACAGGGTTGTGAAATGCTGTTGGGAGAGTGGGTTGGACGTGGACAGGGCTTGAAATTCTGCTCCGTGGCAGATTGAGCAGGGATGCAGAATTTGGGACGGAGTTAAATATTAGGTAGTCCTTAAAGCAACCTGCCTGGGGGGACCTGGTGACCTGCAGAGGTGCCCAAGCTGCCGGCCAGGGTGGTGGGGATGTTGCCCCAAGCCTCTTATCCTTGTGGGGAATGGACCCTAGAAATGCTCTACTTGAGGTTTGCGCCCCGAGGGGATGCTGAGAGACAGAGGAGGGTAGATAATGGCTGCTGCCGTGCGGGTAGGAAGGAGATGCAAGAAGGAGGATGCAGAGCATGGTCATGTTAGGAAGCGGGTTCATGCTGGCACCCAAAGGGTGCTGCTCCCCAGCGCAGCGTGTCCTGGCAGTGCTTGCTGCTCCCTGTGTCTTCCGGACCATGGAGCTGAACGATTGCCCTTGGCTCGCATTGGGGCAGCAAAAAGCACAGGCACCAGGGTGATGCTGGGGTCAACGCCAGCCCCTACTTGTCCTTCCTGGCCCTGGACTGGGAGTCAGGTGGGATGGATTTCTCCATCATGCGTTAATGGGGTGCTCACGGGAGCAGGGGCAAGATGGGGCAAACAAATTATTAACTTAGAAGGTTACCAGTGTGGCTGGCAAGGGGAACGTGCTGCAGTGGAGATCCCTGAGGCACATCGCAGCTCTCGCCCTGCAGCCTTGGAGGTGTGGAGCCGGGCTGTCTGCTTTTAGCAAACGATAGCTGCGGAGCAGGTTTTGGGGGGAGCTTAGCTGCTTGGGCGTCACCACCCTTAGCCCCCAAGAGTGGTACTTTGGGCTTCAGTAACCAGAGAGTGAGAAGGAAAATGAAGTTAAAATGCTCTGCCGTGGTTGCGTGCGCCATCCAGGCACTGCAGTTGCTTCTACCAAGAGTGAGAGTTGCATTGCCCCTCACAGAGTCACCGAATAGCTTGGGTTGGAAGGGAACTTAGAGATCATCCAGTCCAACCCCCCTGCCATGAGCAGGGACACCTTCCACCAGACCAGGTTGCTCAGAGCTCCATCCAACCTGGCCTTGAACACTGCCAGGGAGGGGGCAGCCACAGCTTCTCTGGGCAACCTGGGCCAGGGACTCACCATCCTTATGATGAAGAATTTCTTTCTTGCATCTGATCTAAATCTGCCCTCTTTCAGTTTGAAGCCATTGCCCCTTGTCCCAGCACTACCTGCCCTTGCAAAAAGTCCCCTCCTGCCTGTTAAGTGCTGGTGTGCCAAATGCCAACTTGATATCCTCCCCAGGGTCACCTCTGGTGCCAGGGTCAGCAGGTCCTCTGGGAGGAGGAGGCCACCCGAACGCGGGGACTGCTTGCCGAGGGTGGGCTGGGGTCTGTTTTTGAGTGTAAGCCCATTGCGTAGCATCCCCCCTAATTTTCCCTCTTTTTCTTCCTCCCAAAGCTGGAACCTGACAGACTGGCACTGCCGGTGAGCCCCAGCCGGCTCAGCCCTGTGCCCAGCCCCAGCCCCAAGCCCCCCGGGGCGGCCGTCCTCCCCGTGGAGCCCTCTCCTTCGGAGAAGAACTGA